TTTTTCGTAATTTTTATTGAAAAAAAAGCAAAAATATAGAATAACAAGCAACAAGGAACAAAATGAAGCAACAAGAAAAAAAAACCAATTTCATAAAAAATAAGTCTATAGTTTATGTTATGTAGTCTCCTATCTATTCAACGACTCGACTGTTGAACACGTTTAAGCCGATCCGCTGACAAGATAGGTTTTTTGTCTGTTAAAAGCCAACAGGCTGTTTGCTTATGAACGTATTTTTTTTTACCATCAATCTCGACACAAAAGAAGGAGTTGGTGAGTGAAGGAGATATTGTGTCAAAGACTCTCATTCCTCTGAATTGTGACTTACCATTTGTTGTTATTTGAGGTACGTCATCAGTTTCGTCTTCAGACGAACTGTACTCCTCCGGTTTCGATAACATGTAAACATCAGATTCTGATTCATCATCTGATTCATCATCAGATGAATAGATTTGACTACTATCAGCTGATATTGTTTTGAACTTTTTTTCGAATTGGGTTCGCACAAACGAACTTACTTGTTTCAATGTAGTTTTTTTCTTTTTTTCTAAAGCAATATTAACATCAAGTCCGGAGAGAAGATGATAAGCATGATCAAAAGCTCGAGAAATAGTTGTTTGAATATTATCATATGTAAGAAAATCACTAGATAAATTTGAAGCTAACTTTTTCGAAGCAATTTTTTTTTGTCGTCGTTTGTGATGCTTTGGAAACTGTAATGGACAGTTCAACTGACCAGACTCACTTTTGTTTTCTAGCTCGGTTAGTACAGAGAGCTTACCGGCTCGTTTAAGAAATTGTTCAGTAGTAAAATTTACTACAGAAGAAAAAGCTCCTGACATTGATCTGGTAAGTCGAAAAGTAGCCTCGCATGACTGTGAATGATAGTCTGATATGGAAAGAGCAGATTCAGGCAAGTCATGCTGATGCACGAGAAGACAGATACCAAGTAAACTATGAGCATTAAGCTCGATTGAAAAATGTGCAGGACTAGTGATAAACAAATTCTTTTTTTTTCGCTTCAAAAGAATATCCTAAAGTATCCTTTTCTTCAATTATGTGTAACCATGTTTGCCATATACGACATAAAAATACTGCTAGCCAACTATGATAGATGCGATCAATAATCGATGTATTAGGCTCAACATAGGCTACAATAATGCTCCGTAACAGAAGCAAATAAACTCATGTAGCTTGAGAACCATCAACATCCTGAAAACCATTGATTACATCATCACTTACAAGCTTGAGACAAGACTTAAAGTTTTGCCGGTCTTTCGGATCTATGTCCGTCTTAACAAGTCCATGTTCAAATTTTGATTTATTATGAATTAACTTCATCAAAACCTCGATGGAAACATTTTCTTTCCCAATTAACATTGATGCAGTTTCAGAAAGCATACGGTTACGAAGCTTTGTGCACAAATGTGTAGGATCTTGAGAACAGAAAAAGATTTGACTAGTTTTAAAAAAAAACCAAGTTGACCAGTCTCTTGGCAAATCAATCTTTAGTACATCATTGCGATTACTTATTGAAGTATAATCAAGCTTTGCAAAAAAAACTGTAATCAGGCGCATCGCCAGTAAATACCTGGAATCACAATCAGTAGCAAAGGCTACGATACGAACATTCGATTGTCGAGAACTTTCGAATATCCACATCCATCGATTAAAAACATCAATGGCTGTAAACGTGTTGCTGATTCCATAGGCGGCCAGTAGATACGGTGACGATTGTCGATCAGATGCCATGAGTGGCTGAACCATATGAATATTCAAGTAATTCGATGTATCATTATTCTCAAACCAATATTTTAACTGATCAAAAGAATCAGTCTGAAAATGACGCGAAATAGGAACGCCATTTTTCAGTGGAGTTGAGAACCCTGTGAAAGTGTTATTCGTTGCATTATAAGTAATTTTTTTTATGATTGCCGTCGTATCCTCAGAACAAACCGCTATCTGATGGCCTAATGAATTTTGTTGACGATAAAGTAAGTCATATCTAAATATGCCTTCTTCAATGTTTGCATCAGCTTTTTCAAATATATCATCCAAGGTGGACAACGCTGGCAGTGCGCCGGGCAGATTTAATCGGACGAATTCGTAGGCATTTCGTCCTGCTAACACAAACAGGGCTTGTGCAAAGTTTAATACGGCTTCACTATATCGATAATTATTTTTATTTTTCTGAAGATTACTGAAAATATTTTCAAGAAAAGCTATTAAAAAAGAATAGCTGTCTTGTAAATTATTATTTTCACTTATTTTATATTTATTTATTAATAATTTTAGCAACGAAGAAATATCATTATTTGGAGTTGCTGTCGATTCTTTTTGTTGGTTTTGGTCGTTTACGGCATAAAGAGCTTCAATAAAACGATCAAAATCCAAACGTAAACCAGGTTTGAGCATAATAGTACCATCATCGAGATGAAGGCATGCTCGTTGTGTTATGCTTTCCAGTTCTCGATAGTTTTTTTGGAAAACAGGAAGAATATCATCTTTAGCCAATAGTAATTTGTATACTGTATTAATCGAGAGTACTTCCATCAATTCTTTAAAGACGTCTTCACACGTCTGACGAACCAGTTCGCAAAAAAGTTTCTCCTTCGAAAGAAAGAACATTATCGGGCAAAGTAAGTCTCGGAAATGTTCGAAGCATTTTTTGTCCTACCCAATAAAGGGCTGAATAATTTTTTTCAAGAAACCAAATAACAAAAATTGACTTTTTTTATAATGAAGGTATACGATGAATAACGAATAAGGCGAGAATTGCTTATATATAGATATATATATAGATATGTATATAGTAGATAGGTACGTAGATAGATATGCATATAGTAGATAGATACGTAGACAGATATGTAGGTAGATATGTATATAGATAGATATGTATATAGATAGATATGTATGTAGATAGATATGTATATAGATAGATATGTAGACAGATATGTATATAGATAGATATGTATATACAGAGAGAGACAAACAATAGAAGAGATAAATAGAGACACTGAACTTTTCGTACCACAACAATAAAAACAAACGATATATTGAAACTTTCGCCGGTGTTTTATCGAAGTTTGCCGATACGCATTTTTTTCTTCCTAAATTATCTGCCTGTTGAAAGTTCGTCAACGATATGATGACCTTTATGGAAGTGATGTGTAACGGCCGGCGGAGGGAAGAGTGAGAAAAGAACATATGAGAAATATATTAGAGATAGATGCTATGAAATCTTGGAACAAATGAATCGAAATCTTGACTAAAATTTTTTCTTTTACTTATTTTCCTAAGACACTTAGTGATAAAATAGAGTGCATGAGATCATTTCAATGAGTTTGAACCGAAATCGACTGACTGAATTCAAATGCTCAGTAAGCACATGTGTTAAGAGTTTTTTCTATACATCGGTCATAAATGCTGTTTTCTATCATTATATTGTATGAGCTGCCTACTTCTTGTATTTTATTATAAAAAAAAATCATCTATATGTATATATATACAAAATATTTTATAAAAAAAATAAAATGTTAAAAAAAAAACATATAAATTTAGAAGCTAGACCTAGGATTATAATGATAATCAATAAATGAATCCGAAAAAGTCTATTGTTTAATACGTCGTTTTTTTGATAGAATTTTTTTCGAAATTGAAGACTGTGTATGATCGATCATTGACATATTTACTGATTCATCAATATCGACTAATTCTTGGTCATCAATTGTATTCGAGTCATCATTAATATTACAAGTTGTTATTTTCTTCTTCTTTATCATCATACATCTCTTAGATTTTAAATGTTTATAATAATTACTCATAGAAAAGTTCTCACGAACTTGACTTAATTGTACTTTAATGCCACATGAGCACGATATGCAAGCTTCTTCAGATAATCCATTGAAGCTTATAAAGACTTGAAAATCTTCGTTTTCGATTAATTTTTCATTGGAAATATTCATTGAACAACGATTTTTATCATACCATTCATTTAACATATGAATAATAAAATCATGATGATTCAGGTTATTTAATCCTAAATTAGAATATTGAATTAAAACAAATCTATTTCGCCTTTTTATTTATGTTCACTGTCATTCGTAAAATGGAAAGAGATAATTCTAACCCACTCTTTCTCTTCTTATTGCATTCATGATTGTTCTTAAAAATGAAATTGCGTTTTGAGTACATGGAAAGCGAATTCTCTTTGAAAAATAAAAACAGAATGGTATCCTAACTCTAATGCAGATATTTTTTGTTTAGTTCTACTATTAACCGGTAAAGTAATACAAACCAGAGGCACTATCTTCTAATGTCCAATACTCAGCTCATTGTTACAGTTTATTTTCTCATTCATCTTAGTTCTACCATAATTATTTATCTCATATTTACACAAAATGATTGGTAGAGAAAAGTTATATATATACATTGCGTAAAAATATTTTTGGACAAGAGTGATATTTCAAAGCGATTAAGAGTTGTTGTGTATGAATAAATAAAACCTAAGATAAATTTATGTTAATCCAAGATTGTTCTGCAAATGCAGAGGGATTTTTATATTAATACGTAATCGTATTGCCTGATCAAAAATGATGCCCAGAAAACTAAGGAAATGTCTTAAGAGTAGAGAAATTAATAGTCAACATAACGAGATTTGAAACTCGTTCTTTTCTACCTCTATTAAACAACTGCAGCGATTTGTAAAAACATGTGCTGCTTTAGGTTTTATTTTTCTAATCAGAGCGAAATTCAATACCACTTTTGGTATTGAAAACCTGTAAGACACCATGTTGAAATTCTTAATTCCACAAAATATGATATTCCTTAAATCTTTGCTAGTATGTACGATTAGTTGAAATGTAAATTCTCGATACAAGAACTAGAAAAAATTGAAAATGAATCTAACCTGATGTTACGGGAGATTGTTGATCAATGGAAGGTGTTGAAGCTACCTGAATTTGATCTTGAGAAGCATCCATCATAATTTCGATATTTTGTTGAAATTTTCTTTTTTTATTCTTTTTGCCTTTGAGTGTGACCTCTTTCAAATGTTCTTCATGTTTTTGTTTGAGTAATTGAAACAGGTAACGAATGCTACTTCGATAACCGGGTTTCACAATAAAAGTTTTATCATCAGCTTCGAGGCAAAAGGAACTTTTAATTTCGTGTAAAGCAGCACATGGTAATGAAAGAATTTCAAATACGTCTTCTGTATTGAGAAAAGAGTAAACGCTTCGAATACCCTGAATACTCAGCAATTTGGCCTCAATTTGCCCTGCAATATTTTCCACCATTTGATAAAAGTTATCATCGTAAAAAGAAAGTACGCCAATCGGCAACACAGATGTGTCCAGCAGTAATGTTTGTAAGGGCATTATGCAACAACCGATTAAAAGTAAAAAAATGTTAAATCAATATATTAATATGGTTAAGTCAGGGTACACAGTATTAAAATTGAAAATAAACCTATTCAAATATTGCGTATTATCTTTGTGGACGAATCGATCGACCAATAAACATTCGAAAATAAAGAGGTCACTCAAAAATGAGGCTAGTAATTTTAAAAAATGCCTAAGAAAGCGATTTATAAATCAATTTTTCTCTGTTATAGAAACGAATTTTTAGTGCCTCTGGTTCGTATTACTTTA